AAGGCTAAAATGTTGCTAAAGAATATTGATAAAAATTCTAGCCATAAGGCTCCATCTGCAGACCTAGCACCTGCTGGGAGCCTCTGTTTGCTTCACTAATTTGTATTTATTTGTGCAATTTTTCCACCTGAGAGAAGACTGCTCCTTAAACAACATGATTTTGGGCTGTCACTCTGTCCTCACACTCACTAATGCCAGGTCCTTTGTAACAGAACTCACTGTTGTTGTTGTTGTTGTTAAGTGCCGTCGAGTCGGCCCCGACTCATAGCGACCCCTCCTTGGGTTTCTGAGGCAGTATCACTACGGAAGTAGGATTGCCCAACCTTCCTTCCGAGGAGTGGCTGGTGGTTTGAACCGCCAGCCGTCTGGTTAGCAGGCAAGTGTCTTAGCCACTATGTTACCAGAGCTCCCACAGAACTCACTAGATAGCCTTTATTCACTGTTTACGACACATTGGAAGGCTTAATGGCATCTGGGGTGGAGTCAGGCTATTTCAGGGTCCCACACTTGCTTGTCATTTTCTGATGTAGATTTTTCAATCAGTAATTTATCACAGCATTAAGTGAAGACTATATTTGATATTTTTACAGGGTATATTCAAATATTTTTTGCCAATACCATGATTCAAATACATAAGTTCTTCTGTAGTCTTCCTTATTCTTTGTCCACCTTTTGCATGCATGTGAGGTGACAGAAAACACCATGGTTTGCTCTTCAAAGTGACACCTTGGTTCTTTTAAAGTCTTTTGCAGCAGATATGCCCAATGCAATACGTTACTTGATTTCTTAACTGCTGTCTCTATAGGCATTGATTGTGGTTTCAAGTAAAATAAAATCCTTGACAACTTCAATCTTTCCTCCATTTATCATGCTGTTGCTTATTGGTGAAGTTGTGTGGATTTTTGTTTTATGTTGAAGTGTAATCCATACTGAAGGCTGTAGTCTTCGATCTTCATCAGTAAGTGCGTCAAGTCACTTTTAGCAAGCAAGGTTGTGTCATCCCCATAGTACAAGCTGTTAATGAGTCTTTCTCCATTCCTCATGCTGAGTCCTTCATATAGTCCAGCTTCTCACATTATTTACTCAACATACAGGTTGAATAAGTATGGTGAAAAGATACAGCCATGACACACACCTTTTCTGATTTTAAACCATGCAGTATCCCCTTCTCATGAGCACAATTAAGTAGTCTGAAATTCACATTTTTTGCAATGTTATCCACATTTGTTATGATCCACACAGTTGAATATCTTTGCTTAGTCAATAAAACATAGGTAGACATCTTTCTGGTATTTTCCTCTTTCAGCCAAGATCCATCTGATGTCAGAAATGGTATTCTTGTACCATGTTCACTTCTAAATCTTGCTTGAATTTCTGTCAGTTCCTTGTCTGTGTACTGCTATAACCATTTTTGAAAAATTGTCAGCAAAATTTTTCTTGCTTATAAAATTAATGATATTGTTTGAAATGTTCTGCATTCTATTGGATCAACTTCCCTTGGAATGGTCATAAATATGGATCTCTTCCAGTCAGCTGGCTAGAAAGCTATCTTCCAAATTTCCTGATATAGACAAGTGAGTACATACTTTCAGCCTTGCATCCATTTGTTGAAACATCTCAACTGGTACTCCTTCAATGCTAGGAGCCTTGTTTTTCATCAGTGCCTTCAGTGCAGCTTGGAGTTTTTCCTTCAGTGCCACTGGTTCTTGATTATATGCTGTGTTCTGAAGTGGTTGAACATTGATAAATTCTTTTAGCACAGTGACTCTGAATGTCTTCCATCTTCTTTTGATGTTTCCTTCATTGTTCAGTATTTTGCACATAGAATCTTTCAATATTGCAACTCAAGACTTGAATTTTTTCTTCAGTTTTTTCAGCTTGAGAAATACCAATCATGAACTTCCTTTTTGATTTTAACTCCAGATCTTTGCACATTTCCTTATAATAATTTATGTCATCATTTCTTACACTCAGTTTAGCTATTCTCCATTCAAGAGCACATTTCAGAATCTCCCCTGACATCCATTTTAGCCCTCCCTTTCTTTCCTGTCTTTTTAATGACATTTTGCTTTCTTCATGTGTGATGTCCTTGATGTCTTCCCATAACTCTTCTGATCTTCAACCTTCAAATCTATTCTTCAGATGGTCTCTAAAGTCAGGTGGCATTTTTCATCTCATGGACTTGTTTTAATTTTCTTCACCTTCAATTTAAAGTTGCATAGGAGCAATTCCATAGTTGGTCCCCGGCCTTTTTTGACTGATGATATTGAGCTTCACCATCATCTTGTCCCATAAAATGCCACCACTGCCGTGGGGTCAAATCCAACTCATTGTGACCCTCCTTGGGTTTCCAAGGTGGTATCACTATGGAAATAGATTGCCCAACCTTCCTTCTGAGGAGTGGCTGGTGGATTTGAACCTCCAGCCTTCTAGTTAGCAGTCAAATGCCTTAGGAACTATGCCACCAGAGCTGTTATCAATGTAGTCTATTTGATTCCTGTGTATTCCATCTGGTGAGGTCAATGTGTATTGTCAACATTTATGTTGTACAAAGAGGTATTAATAATGAATGCATTGTTGTTCTTGAAAAATCTATCATGAGATCTCTGGCATCATTTCGAAAACAAAGGCCATATTTTCCAACTACCAATATATATTCTTTGTTGCCAACTTTCACCAAGTCTTAGAAAACAATAACTGCAATAATTCTGACAAAATTGCCCATGAGAGGGTCTATGCTATTTTATTCAATAAATTCCTACCAGATTCCTGCAATATGCTAGACACTATGTCTAGACAGGATCTTTGCCCTCTTGGAGCTCAAGATAGTAGTGGTGGTGGTATTAGCTGCTGTTGAGTCAATTCTGACTCATGGAGACCCCATGTGTGCAGAGAACTGTTCCACAGGGTTTTCAAGGCAATGACTTTTCAGAAGCAGATCACAGGTCTACTTTCCAAGGAGTCTCTGGGTGTGTTTCAATTGCCAACTTTTCAACCAGTAGTCCAGCACTTAACCATTTGAGCTAACCAAGGACTCTCTGGAGCTAGATTATTTTCTATATTAAAATAATGGGGATATGAAAAGTAGAGAAGTAAACAAATACATAAAGATGATATTGTAGATTGTAATTAGGTGCTGTGAAGGAAAACTGATGGCAAACAGTAACTGGCAAGAAAGGGGCAGGCTGGTCAAGAAAAGCCTCTTTTGATAGGAAACATTTAAACTGAGCCCTGAGAATGAGAAGGATTCAACCCAGAGGTGTATCCGAGGTATGGTAGGTATGGCACATGCCCTGGATGACACTTGACAAGGGGCTCCACTGAACAATTTCTATTAACCATCATAGTTTCCATCACCAGCTGTGGAAAATCATTCAGCAAGTTAACCCTTTCATAATTCAAGTGATATATAGCACCCACCAATATTTTCAACCTCTTAGGTTTCTTGGGAAGCTGTTATCCCAGTTGTAGTATGTGTTACCACTTGGTAGAGACCTGTTTGACTGCATGAATCTGAAGAAACAGGCCTCTCCTCACCAATCCTACCACACAAGCACAATTAGGACATATGTGCCCCATATAATTGTATCACCATTCATATTACTTCAAAAAACTTTTTCCTTGATTTTGGCATGACCACCATTACTGAAAACACATGGTAGCAACAAAAAATTCAAAGCTGAAAGCAATTCAGTTCATGAAAAGTTTAAAACTAATATTTTCATATTTGAGAGATTCCATGGGTCAAGGCAAACTGTGTGGTCTTGCTCTGCAGAGTGTTAAAGTAGGAGAAATTGGAAAAAAAAAATGAGTTTGAGAATATTTAAACCAATTTTGATCAGTGAAAGCAAGGATGGTGCAGTTGTAATTTCCACATGGTATGATAATATGATATGTAAAAGAGTAACAATCATGACTTTCATTTTTTAGTTGATACTATGGTAAAGTTATCTAAAGGATGGATGTCAGATGTTTTCACAGAGGCACAATTTCATTGCTTGCCATAGGTGCCATTTTCTATAGCAACACCTCTGACAAAATCCCTGGCAGAACCAAGGGAAAAACATTCCAGGGAGCACAAGCTGAAAGAACTGAAGGAAAAATTCAAGCCTTGACTTGCAGTATTGATTGATTCTACGAGCCACTCCATGGAAGCAAGACTGGGAAATCTACTTCTGCAAAGATTTACCACCTTGAAAAATCAATGGGGGTCGCTATGAGTAGGTATCAACTTGATGTCAGTGGGTTTTGTTTTTTTGGTAAGGGATGGTTTGAAATAATACTTGATAAGTAGCACTATCAAAGATCTGGGCAAGGAGAAGCAAAAGTACCCAAGTAACAACTAAAATGTGAGATTGCTGTCTTCAGAAAGATAGTATCCTTGTTATGACTCAGGAGGCCATGGAGGCTGGAATCAATAAATGCAAATTATTCTGTCTGAAGGGTAAACTTAATCTTTAAATTGTCAGTGTGTTCACAGAGGAGAAATGACTAGAGGTCATTTCTACTTTGGTAGAACTAGGTTTCTGCTGACCTTGAATGAAATTGTTTTGTTTAATAACAAATTGGCCTCCTTCCATCTCTTGTTGACTGAAGAGCACTAAGAGTGTGGTCTGGCCCAGAATGTATCTTTATCATTTTTCATTTTTTAAAAAAAGGCATACAAACTAATGCATGTGCTGGGGAGAGGGGTCCATAATTCAACAATACTAAGTTCATTTGTTTAAATGAACATTTAAAAACTGGGTATTTACCCAGAATATAAACACTTTTCGATTCTACCCCACCCCCAACTCAACTATCCATGTACTCACGAGTTGGCGTGGATGAAATCCAGGTGCAACTGAGCCCGCGATAGTGCAGCATACTTGTCTACCATGCCCTCAAACGTGGCACTCCTGGCCCAAGGGAACAGAAGAACAGCCGCCTCCCGCTGTTTGCCCACACCCACTGTTTGCCCACACCCACGCCCACACTTTGACGCTAGGTTTCAGGAGTACGTGCTCCCTTTGGCTGCCCACGTCCAAGCGCACACTGCCGCAAGACCTGGCGGAAGACGTGGCGGAAGACGTGGCGGAAGACGTGGCGGAAGACGTGGCGGAAGACGTGGCAGAAGTGGAAGTTGTTCATGTAGATGGTTCTAGTCGTTTTGGTACAGTGGATAAAGCACTCAGCTGCTAACCAAAAGATGAGCAGTTTGAACCTACCACCCACTCCTGGAGAGTAAGATGTGGCAGTTCGTTTCTGAAAAGATTATAGCCTTAGAAACCCTATGGGGTGTTCTACTCTGTCCTACAGGGTTGCTATGAGTTGGAATTGGCTTGATGGCAGTAGTTTTGGTTTGGTTTTTGGTTGTGGTCTAGGGTCACCCGCTTGAGAATGATGGGTTTGAGCTAGACTCCTCTTTCAGAATTCTCTGCCTTTCTCAACATTTTTCAGCTGGAAAATGCAGTCCAAAGCTGAGGTTTGAATTACACATACACACACACACACACACACACACACACGTAAGAATATGGTAAAAGAGAGATGTTGCATTGTGGGAAATTGCAGTCAATGCCATGAGATAAAGTGTATGTGAACTGCTGTATGGAAAACAAATTTGCTCTGTAAAATTTCACCCAAATCACAATAAAAGTCTTTTAAAAATAAATATGGTAAAGGATAAGTCCTTGGTTGTATGGTGGGGGAGGTTGTATGTAGGGGAGGTAAATGCATAGTTACCTTTTGCTTAAGAAATGTGTAACACAGCACCAAAAGTAAAGACTCTTTGTGTTCTAACTCCAGTACTCACTTTCTCAGTATCTCATTCTCTGCACTGGGGGGAAAGGAAGGAAAAAAAGATCATTTAGAGAGAGAAAGAAAGGACTGGGAGAAAGACAATTAGAAACAGAATTTCTCTGCGAGGCTTGCTATCCACACCTGGACAAGAAGCCAAACTTCTCCTGGTCTTTAACTCTTTGATGAACTGGCCTGACTCATGGAGTAGACATTCTGTATTGTTCCAGAGGATAGAATTGGGAAAGTGGAAGATAGAGACAGGAATGTTAGGACATAAGGAAGGGCTAGGCTCAGCGGCTTTCTGAATCATGTTACCCACAAAGCGTTCCAAGTTACCAAAACTCAGTCTGAAACAGTATCTGTCAAGATTTCTATGTGGAAAGTCTTAATTGGAATGGGAAACTAGATGTCCTAGATGACCTCTAAAAAGTGTTCAAACTCAGATTGAAAGTCTAGGGCTATTGCTTTGGACCACCGACCATTTGTCAGATTGTCATATTATAGTGGCATGCTTCTTGCTATGATGCTGGGGACAAGGTTACCAGTATTTCAAATACTAGTAGAGTTCCTGATGGCTGACAGTTTTCAACTGAGCTTCCAGACTAAGACAAGAAGAAAGTCCGGGCAATTAGCCAATGAAAACCCCATGGATCACAGCAGAATCTTGTCAATAATGCTGGAAGATAAACCCCTTAGGTTAGAAGGCACAGGAAAAACACAATGACCACAACAATAGACTTGAGCATGAAGATGGAGTAAGATGAGGCAAGGCTTCTTCCTCTTGTGCATGGGATGGCCCTGATTTAGTGCGAACTCAACAGCAACTAACAACAATAATTGATTTGGAAACTAATGTAATTCAGTAGTACTAAGCAAAGATTTTACATGTTAATATTAAAGTCAGAAATGAAGATCAGTTGACTAAAGAACTTGAGCTACATGGCATCACACAGACAATGAAGCTCTCAAAAATGGGGGAAAAAAGGTCAATTTTGGAATACTCTTTCTACTTTAAAAGATAGGTGTTTATCAGCTACTTCATTTATAGGAATCAGGAGAGGGAGATAGAATTTGAATGGCAACCCAAAGGAACATGATTTTCTACTTTAATGTGAAAATTAGAAATAAACATAAACAATTTAAGTAGCATTTGTGATTTCATTTTTGTTTTAACAGTAGCTGCTGTGGTGATGTTTTCATAGAAAAATTTTCTTAACTAAGCAATTTGAGTTATCTTTCTGATCTTTCCTTTCAGAGAACTTCAGAATATGGTATTTTATTTTCATTTTATGATGTGAGAAAAGCTTGAAGAACCTCTTCTTAATTTATTTTACTTTCCCATTTTGCAGCTGCTATCTCAAAGCAATTTACTATTGGGAGGGCATTGGAACCATTAGCCTGTAATTAGTGAAGGCTGTAATTTCTAATTTCTACCAGAGGGAAAGTTGTGATTATCACAGAAAAACTCCTTCTAATAATCTGAGCAGAGCCTTCCTACAGAAAGTGGCCAGCTCAAAGCACTAGACAGTCCTGGTTGGTTGGATGACAGACATGGAGGAAGCTCTGTTAGATGATGTTACAAAAGAGGCTTGCAATTCATTGCACAAAATCTGCCAAAAACCTTTCCTCCATTTCAATTCTGTTTCCTCTTGTCATAAAGGCAAAACTTGTTCTTCAAGGTGTACTTTTGGGATTCCCCTCCCCCAACCACCTCCCTCAACTCTGCCTCAAGATTCATTATAATATTATTTCACAATAAAAGTACCAGGAAATGAGAAGGAGTGGGAATTTAAAATAGGAACTGCATCTGAACATCTGATTTTAAGGAGAGTCAATTTAGGATAAGAGAGTCTTCACATCTTCCTAATTCAACATTTCATATTTACAGCCTAATCAACAAATGATGGTGTGAATCTTTCAAAATAAACCCTCCCTTTCTTTTAAATAACTAATGTGTGAACCAGCATTTCATGCCTTTTCTCAAGCATGTTTCAATTCAAGAGAGAGTTTATAAACATAAAAAAATGGTATCTGTTACGTATTAGCCATCACAATGTTATACTATTTCCTAAGAACTATAATTAAGAAGTAACACTGGCATACAATAAATAGAGAAAACAAATGCTATTGAATTGATAATGGTGAAAGTGGCTAATGACTCTCAAGTGATAGTAGTGAAATGTCTCTGAAAGCAACTCACACTTTCCTTGCACATTTTGTCAGGTTTGTACAGGACTAATGATAAATATATTTTCTTTTTTTTCTGACTTTTTCATGGCAGATAGTGGTGGGATTTTATTTCATTGAACTTCAGTTTCATTTAACTTCTCAGCTTTTTACTCCACACAACATGGCAGTAAGCATCTCTTTGGACTGTGAAAAAATAATCAGGCCTAGATTTTGTCCAGAGAATACTTACAGTATATGTCAATTTGAAAATAAGGTAGACATTTTGGTTGACTAACCCACTAGCTATCCCCAACTCTTCTCTTTCACTCTAAAAAAAAAAAAAAAATTACTATCCTGGACTCCTTTGTTTCTAGGGGTGACTATCTGACCTGGTCATTATAAATAAATATAAGCAGAAGTGTGCAAGTGGATTTAAGAAAGAATTTGCTTTCCTGATAAAAGGTACAGACAAAGCTGGCTTTTTCTTCCTTTTGTCTTATCTCTGCTTTGAATGTAGGCACAATATCTGGATCTTAGGGTATAATTTACAACTTTGAGGGAAAGGCCAAGGGAATCACCTTCTGTTTAGTGTGATATATAATTTGGAGTCACTATTGGTTCATCTGGGAGCGCTGGTAGCATAGTGCATAAGGCACTTGACTGCTAACCAGAAGGCTGGCAGTTCAAATTCACCAGCCACTCCTTGGAAGGGAAGATGGGGCAATCTACTTCTGTAGTGATACTTCCTTGGAAACCCAAGGAGGGGTCACTATGAGTTGAGTCCGACTCGATGGCACATAACAACAACAACAACAACTGGTTCATCTGAAGGAGCTGTCCCAAATATTCTTGAATTATAAAACCAAAGCTACCAGTCACTTACATCCAGAATTTTTGTTATGTAAAATAAATAAATAAATAAAAATTAATCTTTACTTGTTAATCATTGTAATTGATTTTTCTTTTACTTGTATCCAAAAATATTGCTAATTGACAGAGATGACACAGGCATACTATCTTTCCATCACTGGGCATGAGCAGAAGCATATTTTATACAGGCTGTGATTTTTGAAGTTTTTCTTATCAGAGATGGTCAATGTGAGTTGGCACAGAGAAGGGGAAACACTGCAGCCAGAAATAACCATCACAACAATAAGATAGATGAAAGAACAATACATTTGTATACAGAACATAATAACCAGAGTCATTGGAATGAAGCACAGAAAGAGGCAATGTTGCTTATACATGGAAAGGAGAATTTTAAGAGGGGATTGAATACCAGGGAAAAGTTTATGTTCAGTATGATATATACCTGATATTGGTTCATCCAATGAGTCACTCATTTATTTTGTTAGAGTCAACTCTATGTTACCTCCCAGGAATACAAAAATAAAAATAACTTGTCCATGCCTTCAGGAGGCTATAGTTTAGTAGAGGAAGACTGCATCAGGTTTCAATGAAACCTCATGAAAGGAATATAATATAAAAAAATGGGCACTTATGAAAATTCTGGAAGGGATAGAAGGACCAAAATCAGGGACAGATCATCAGACAACTGAACAATTTAAAGGTCAGAAGTCTGTTGATGTGTCACTGCTCCAAATGCCTCTATTACCCACAAGAATAGCCTCCAGATACTGGAACACTGAAATTGACCACTGCCTCTAAACACTCACATTCTCTTGTTCTACATACCAGTAGCAAAGCATTGAAAAGATAGTCCTCCCTGACTTCTGACTTTTTGTAGAAGATACTCTTAAAAAGCAAAAAAAGGAAAAGAAAAAGAAAAAGCAAACTCACTGCCGTTGAGTCGATTTCAACTCATAGCGACCCCTCCTTGGGTTTCCGAGGCAGTATCGCAAATGCCTTAGGTACTATGGTAGTTAAATATGTATGTCAACTTGGCTGGGCCTGGTTGAGTGGCTGGGCAGCTGGTGGTAGCTATTCCAAATGACGAGACTGGCAATCCACCTGGTGGGATCTACCACAAGCAGCTGAGTAGCTGCATTTAGGATGTGGTCTGCTTCCCGTATATAAGGAGAAACCTTGGGGATAGTCTCTAGCTTATGGCATGCTTGATCCCTGCATGTAACCATGCCATTGTTCAGCAGCTTGCCATGCGGTGCCAACTTTGAGATTTTCAATGAACTTAAATTAATGACCTGCCATGTAATTTGGTA